GATATTAAAGTTTTAGAAACTCAAGGTATTTTTATCGAACCTCAGAATAAAACAATTTTTGGCTCGGTTGTTGCTTTATCACACGATAATCTAGGTGGTAATGTATTATTGGGAATGGTTGAGAGCTTTTCAGCCAACAATTTTTGCCGAATTTGTACTGCTGATAAAAAGACTTGCCAATCATTAACACGAGAAGATGTTTCTTTACTACGGAACATGAATAATTATGAGCTTCATTGTAATCAAGCTAAAGATGAAAAGCAAGTACTTGGCGTTAAATGTCGTAGTGGGTTATGTGACTTAAAATATTTTAATATTTTTGATTCTGCTTCAGTGGATCCAATGCACGATATCCTAGAAGGCATTGCTCCTTACGAAATTAAAATATTCTTAAAGCTATTGGTTGATAAAAAACTAGCAACTATACGTGATATTAATTCGAGGTTACAAGCATTTCCCTTTGGTAAAACAGATAGGAATAATAAACCAAGTCCAATAATATTAGATAAACCAGGGCATTTAATTGGACAACGAGCTGCCCAAACGTGGTGCTTAATCAGATTTATTCCAATAATATTAGAAGATCTATTAGATGACGATTTAAAAACAAAATTTTATTTAATTTCTTCCATAATATCAATAACACAAATTGCTCTTTCACCACGCATAACTAAACTAGAACTAGAAAAGCTAGAACGCCTTATTGAAAATCATCTTAAATTCTTTGATAATAACTTTGATGAACGCAGACTACCCAAACATCATATGCTTCTTCATTACTGTCGGATTATGAAATCATTAGGTCCATTAGTTAATCTATGGACTATGAGATTTGAGGCGAAACATGGATATTTCAAAAATTTGGTACCCAAACTAAAAAATTTTACGGCTATTTGCAATACGTTGTCACATAAGCATCAAATAAATATGAGCCATCAGTGGAATAATAAAATTATGGAACCCCATATGGAGTACGGGCCTATGATAAACATTCTTGTTCAAAGCACAATTTATAAATCGTTGTTTCCTAACCAAAAAAATATTGGTGTACTAAAGTGGTTGTCTTTTGGTGGCTTTTTTTTATAAATCAGGCTATTTCATATGTAGGGGAATGAAGGCCGCCCTCCCTGAGTTTTCCCTTATTGTTGATCTTATTCTATCAGATGGAACTCCATATTTAGTGGCGAAACCGTGGAAAACACGACAATATGATGAAGTAAAATGTGTTTACATTATCGAAAATTTAGAATCTGAATGTTTTCTTTTAAAAATAGAAAATTTAACTTATAAAGAACCCTTTGAAAAGTATTTATTACGTTCTAAATTAACAACTTGGTGTATTGTTCCAAAGTATAAATTTTGTTAAATTTTCATATTATACGTAATACGGGTATGATATACTTATAACTATGTTACCTTCATTTACAATATTTTTTATACTTCTTGACTTAGCATTAAGTGTATTTTGTCTTGAAATTCAAAATAATGTATAAGTTATTAATATTAGGTATAGAATTTAGAATTAGGTACCTACAGAAGTAGATATATCTTTTTTGATAAGCTCTTTTTGAAGTTGAAATAAGTTAGGTATAGCTGTTGTACCTACTCATTATGAAATAATGTGAACGGTGAAAACCCATTATCAATCATTTACACCTTCCATGTGAATTAATCATTTATACAAGTTGAAAAGACACAGTAACGCGGTGATATTAAATCTGTTTTGGAGTAAAAATTGACTTCCAATATTGGTTAATAATCACCAAAATCAGATAATGACCTCACCACTTACGATTGAAAGTGACAACACATTGTGTAATTGCTACACCATCATAATGTCAAGTTACTCTACGGCTTAATTAAAGTCACTAACTTACATGGTCAAGTGACACTGAAATGGAGTTATATATTATCCTGGATTTTATCCGATTGGTGTGAAGTTCTCAATAGATCAGAGTAGATTTTAACACAACAATAAAGTGGAAAAATGACTCTGTAATGTGTTACAAAGTCAACACCGTGCACATGGTGTAAAGCTAACACCAAAGTACATGTATGGATATGGACACGGAGTAAGAGTAGTTTGGTGTAGTATGGTGTGACTATATTTTATACTGTGTGGTAATAATACACATTGTATTTACTTTTATTTAATCGCCCCCGGTGAAAACTTCTTCTGGATCCGCGCCTGCCATAAAATCACTTGAAACTTATGTGTTATCTTTGTAATGACCCCAAGAAGGCAATGACGAAAATTCATGGAGATTTGATTTCATAAAAAATTAAAATTGCCCATTTTCAAAAATGTAATTAACCTATTTATAGCCAATGTAGATCGATGAAAATTCGTTACCTCCTGCGCTGGTCCTTGCTGATTAATATAAAAAAAAATTGGGCTGATACCACAAACGGTTTTTAAAAATTGTACAAAAATCTAAAGGCATGTTTTAAGTGTGTTTTCTACGCTGATCCCCACCACTCCGGCAGCGCGCTCTTAACTTCGGTGATCGGACGAGAACCGGTGTTTTCAACGTGGTATGGCCGTTGTCGAGAAATATGGTGATCTAAGGGAAATAATTCTAGAAATTATTCCTCAGAAGAAGAACAAAGAGATGCACGCAAAGGATTCAAACGTGTCGCAAATTTACCAATTTTGAGCACTTTTCAAATCGAACGTAAATAAATATTTCGATGAATAATGGAGAGTTCGTTAAAATCGCAAAGGGAATACAAACGTCCCGAAAAATGCACAAAACGAAACAATTTTAAATTTCGCAAAGTGTAAAAGTAGTATCGCTAAATATGTGTCAAAAGGAAGCGAAAATTAGAAAAAAAAAAGGAGTCAACGGCACGCGGTGTTCCCAAGCGGTCACCCATCCAAGTACTGACCGCGCCCGACGTCAGTGTTACCAAGTATTTTTTCATCAGTATCGCCAACATAAGCGCCACCTGTTAGCCAAATGTAGCCAACCTTACAATTTAAAAAAAACGCACAATTAAAAAATCATTTTATTGGTATTTTAATTAAATTTATTACATCTTTACATAACATAGGTAATCTTATTCAATAATTGAAATGCACGGTACATTAAATTCTTCAAATGCCGATAGAATTTCTATATCTGCTTCTTCTAAAGCATGAGTTTGCGAAGTATTAGTGCTTGGCCGATTAATGTACATGTCACTATTAAAAAGCTGTAACATTTCAGCAGTGGCTTTAAACGCATTACAACACGTTCCGTCCCTATATGATCGTACCCGAATGCGCAATAAACTAGACAGCATCTCAAACTGCATTCGGTTACGTAACTTTGTCTTTACCGCATTCATAATGCTAAATACACGTTCAACTACAGCGTTTGAAGTTGGCAAAGATAACAATGTTAGGACAAAGTCCGCTAACTCCTTAAAAATAAAAGAACCTCCTGCGTCTGTATAAGTGTACATTTTAGCCCAAAACATAAATGTATTACTTAATACATTTTCGCCGAATATCTCGGACCAGTTAATACTTAACATTTTATTATACTGAGTCTCCATTAAAGAAAGTTTACTGCTATCTGCAAATATTTTTAAAAATGGCAAATCGATAAAATTGCATCGTACTGCTGGTGAAAGGCAGTGCTCAGGCGAAAAAAAGCTTATAAGTTTTTAAAGTACTCCATGTTTTCTGGTAAACGCCTAATCACTTCTGCGAGTAATTTGTGAATAAAGTTAAATGCTTTGTTTTGTACACAAATTTTGTTTTCTGAACTAATTTTCACCTTATTTAGCATTGTGAAATAATCAACCCCGAAATCCGAATCTTCGGGTTGAATAAAAGCCAATTGGTTATCGATATTCTCAACTATTACTTGCAATCCACTATTTAAAAACACTGGTTTCATAATTTTTTTTGCTAGGAGATAAGTAAATGATATTTTAGGGCCCTATTCTTGAACGCGTGACTACCGTGTGAGTGAGTGAGTATGACGTCATCTCGAGCGATTTTCATATTTTCGTATTCTTGACGCTTTAAACCGTTCGAGTGGGTGACTCACACTGTCACATGTCGAGCGCTTTCAGTCGATCAGTTTTTTTTCAGTGACTTGAGTTGTGCGATCCTTTTAAACTGATTTTTGGTGATCTTACTCGTATATTTTCCTAAAGTATAGGCAATAAATAAAACCGTCACGCTTTTCGTGAGTATTTTATGCATCCTTCACCTTGTTTCTCAGTGTTTATATGATTTATGAATGAAATCTAACCTCGCTTTTGATAAATTTTCGTGCTCGTTCTCCTGTGATTTCTAGGCGATTTTTATTATTTATTTATACGAAACTGTTTATTAAACTTCCTTCTTTTTAACGATTATCATTTTGCTCGCGAAAGTGTGCATAATCCGTGTGAAGTGTACAATTTCTACACCTCTGTTTTTACCACAGTTTTGCTAAGTATATAAAGATTCATTCAAGAAATTAAAATGGACGAACTGGTTATGTTGGATTTGCTGGACGCCGAAGAGGAAGCAGAAGAAGTTGTCCGTGTTCAAAGACCCCGGGCTGACGCAATTGCCATTCTTAGCGATGTCCAGTTTAAAAACATGTTTCGTTTTCCCAAGGAACTGTTTAGGATTATTGTGGAGGTGTTGTCCCCCCATATGAGACCAACAAATCGAGCTTCAGATTTGGAGATTCCCATTCGTGTAAGTAAAGAAAATTTTCCACTTACAGCTTATTGGTTTCTTTTCTTATATGGCAGATATTGATTGCATTACGCTTTTTTGCTTCGGGATCTTATCAGATGGATGTAGGCTCCAACTTGTTCATGTCTGTCTCCCAACCGACTGTAAGTCGATGCATCAGTGAAGTGAGCGATGCTTTCAATGTCCCAGCGATTTTCAATCGATTTGTAAGATTCCCTCATAACTTCGAGGAACTGGACCGAGTACGAATGGGTTTTTTCGAAAAGTACAACTTCCCTGGTGTTGTCGGCTGTATAGATTGTACTCACGTGGCAATTGTGGCGCCCCCCGCGGAAGATCCCGATCGACCAGGACACTTGTACATAAATCGCAAAGGATTTCATTCGATAAACGTTCAGCTCATTTGCGATTCAAATCTTAAGATATTGAACGTAAAAGCATCTCATCCTGGAAGTACCCACGATGCATTCATTTGGAATAATTCTAATGTCCAAGAGGTAATGCGTACCATCCATGCAGAGAGACGAGGAACCTATTTTTTACTTGGTTAGTACATTCTCAATAAAATCAATGAAATGATAAAACGTGTTGTACGTTTTTGTAGGAGATAGTGGTTAACCTCTGTACGAATCACTCACATTTAATATAGATCAATGCTTGTATAGTTATTTTCTAGTTTAGCTTATTACTTATCGTCATAATCACTAGAGCTGGCGTGTGATTATATAAGAAATTCTGTATAAAATAGGTTCTCACCTACTGAAATACATGTGTTGATGTACATTTCAAATGTGCACAATAGAATAATCATAAACTAGTAGACACAATCACTACAGACCGACGAAAGGGTATTTTCTCAGGAAGGAAGTGACTAGTCCAAAAAATCTTTTGTCGATCTGGTCTTGAAGCAGTGCTACACTGTATAAGAAAAAAATCACTTCGTCAACAGGGTTCAATATTATGGGATGAACAATTGCACCACTGGAATTGGAGATCATGGATGTGGCTAAAAGGACAAGGAAAAATTGTAACGTGAAAGTTGTTAAAAAATCGTAGCCTATATACTTGTATCATTCGCATGGAAATTGCAGACACTTTCTTTAATTAATGAATCTCCTTCTACCACTACCGGCTTGATAAAAGTGTCCACAATATCCTGCTCGAATGTGGTCAATTTTTCATCACTGGGGGGACCGCCACCTGTTTGGTTTGTTGACCGGTTGATTCTGGCAGCTTTCGCCTTTACGCGAGAATATAAATCTTGCCAAGTCTAAAATTGCAACAATATATATAGCTTTAATAAGGTATTGAGTTGCATATTAATGAAAACATTACTTTTCGCCAATTTTTCCAATCTTTGTAAGGCCTTCCAGTGCTATTCAAAGATGCTGCAACCGTCTTCCACTTCTCGTGTATATTTTTGTTGGTAAAATTAGGTGACGTTTTCCCTGCCACGACGTTTTTATTTTTTTTTAAAAACTGAACAAGTATCAGCTTTTGCTCTTCTGAAGCGCGAGACATATTTTAATTTTAAATTTGAATAAATCGCAAAAATTACAAACGCAAGCGCAATGAATCACAATTTGACAGATTCAAACAAGTGACATGAGAAAAAAGTGAGAATACAGTGGTGCCAAGTTGACAAACTCGAGCGGTTTTCAATTAGTGTCAAGAATACGGAATTTGGTGAGTGAGTGAGTCACCGATGACAAAGTTACCCACTCACCGATTTTTATCGAGCGGTTCAAGAATAGGAGTCTAAATCTTGATATGATTTACCAATATTAATATAATTTTTTTGGAACGTTATGTTCAAACGATTACATTCCTGCAATATTGGTTTAACAATTTTTAAAAGTAATAAATTTGCGTCATCAAAGAGAATTTCTTTTAATTGTCTGGCTGTATAGCATTTCTCTTTATTTACTACTACGCTAAAATGTATTTTTAACTCATCCCAGTGGTTTAATATTTTGTCTATTACATTGTACCTGGCTAACCACCTGGTTGATGACAGTTGTACAAAATTTTGGAATTTCTTTTCCGATAGCAAATTGTACAATTGTTTATACTGTTCCCTTCTTTGTGGACTGCAACTGAACCAGTTGTATATTTCACGGCATAAAAATTCTACACTTGCAGGCAATTCATCGGAAGCCTTTGAAGCAGCTAGATTTAATGAGTGGCAAATACATCTTATTAATTGCAAATGTGGAATTTTTGATCGTAACAAAGTATAAACTGAATTATTTCTCCCACACATGTTGCTGGCCCCATCTGTACCTATACCTATTAAATTATCTAAATTAAACCCTAAACTATGTATAAAATTAACTAGACTATCAAACAATGATTGCGCGGTAGCGCTTTCTAAAGGTATGAGTCCCAAAAAATCAGTGACGAATTCTTGTTTAGTTTTACTAAAATATCTAATGCAAACACATAAATATTTGATCACAGACACATCCGTAGACTCATCCAATATTAGAGAATATTTACTATTATTTGAAATAATGTCTGTTTTTAGCTCATCCATTAAACTTACCGCAATCACATTCTTTATTATTTGGGAACACTTTGTTCGATGAAGTTGAATGGCTCGAAACGTTGGAAATTGAGAATTCATGACATTGTTAATGAGATCGGTTAGATGGTCGACACTCCTAATTGATGTGTGCATTGCGACGTAATGGGAAATCCTAAGATCACTTTCTTTCTGCTCATTTGTAACCTGAATTTGCATGTGAGACGTTATCTTATTCGCCGCAGGAACCAAATCTGCTGCCCTCCTTTTATGTGCAATGGAATTTGCGTGCTTCTTTAAATCGGTAATGTGGGCCCGTAATGCAGATTTGCAAAGCTTGCAATATGCATCTTGCAGGTCATCGTCGCCACTCTTCATAAGCCAACCTAAACATAATTGAGTGTCTTTAAATATAGAAAAAATAATAAAATACAGCTAGGCTTTGATAAACATGGCACGAATCTAGGAAAAAAAATCCAATGAAAAAAAAACTACGGAAAAAAAATCCAGGAAAAAAGAGGCACGGAAAAAAAACCAGCGGAAAAATAAGCCAGGTAAAAAAAGTCAGCGGAAACAAAATCCTGGAAAAAACAGTCAGGAAAAAAGAATGTATATTAAATTAAAGGAACAGTGTTCTTTTCTGGCTTAATTTTCTAAATTATATTGTAGGCAATTATCAGGATTGTTACTTAACGATGGGTTAATGCATTCTTTTCTTCATCCTCTTACTTGCATTCTTCAAATGCTTGTAATAGTTATTTGTGTACCAAGGCCGTAAAAGTGATCTTTTTTGGCCGAAGCTGCTGTTTGTGGCCGAGGCGGCAGCCGAGGCCGCAATTCAGATGAGGCCTAACAAATCACTTTTGGCCAAGGTGCACACAACATTTTTTAGGCGATCATCAAAAAAGAATTCAAAAATTTGCTCATAAACATATTTTTTCTGAAAATCATAGTTATCTTAGACAATTAAAAACAAAGCATTTCCTGTCATATGTAATTATAATTAGCATCTTTGCGTGTGTTTTGTGCGTATCAAAATGGGTGATAGCGACAGTCCAGATACCCTAAATGAAATTTTGGAAGCTGCAAGCGTTGCGCTTGCGACCCTAAGCCATATATGATATAAAAGCAGGCGTTTGAGAGTAAAAGTACAATCGCAACTTCCTCGGTTGCACAAGATTTTAATAATGTCAAATGCAATAGGTCCTTCGTAACTGTGGCTTCCAAGACCTTATAGTTAACGTACAATTATTAGAAACCTGATTACCTACTTTGATGGTAGGTATAGGTAGCTACTTGTGTTCTCGGTTAATTGCTGGTGATTTTTCGTATAATAATGTAAGCAACAACATCTTCCTCATGTTTTGGTTCTACACTTCAAAAAGGTCTCTGCAAGCAGCAAAGATTGAAACGTCAAACTATAATTTTAAATGTGAACATTGTGATTACGCAAAATAGTGTGAAACATTCCTACAAGTCTGAAAATGAAAAAAACGCACGTGGATGGACCCAATCCTTGATGAGGACAGACCAGATAGACGCTTTCTATCAAACAGATTACTGGTTCTCACACATCAGTTTCAAATAAGTAGGTACAGTTTGACAGATGTGTACAATAAAGTAAAGTTTGACAGAAGCGTACAATAAAGTGAAACTTTATGGCCGCAAAAGCGACCACAAAATCAACGTTTTTGTGATGATAGCCTAAAAAATATCTTTTTTGCCTTTGTCTTAAGTAACGTACGTAAGTAGTTTCTTGCGTTTTTACGAATTAACGTTATTTCTTATTAAAAATAGATGATGTTACCATCAAGGGTAACTTTGTCAAATGTAAACTACCTCTACCTATCTCTTACAGTTCCCGAGATCCCCATGGTGGCCTTTGAATTTGAATCACCCTGTATAGTTCAATTATTACACATTACACTAAACTGACTAAATTAATACTAATATACTAAAATGCACCACAACTGAAAACTTGCAGAGACGACTAAACACCCTTTGCGTAGAATACAGAGACGGGGCCCGAACTATGGAAGATTTCATTTTAGCCGTAGGTCATACTATTCGATTTACATAGTTCATTGAAACTATTATACTTCATTTCTTTATACATATTTTGTATTGTCAACAGTACGCCCTGGCCCTAGTTGTTATTAAAACTTATTATATTTTGCATTTATTGTGTTTTTTTTTACGTAACGCTATCACAGGTTTAGGTACTTCCCTTTTTCTCATACAGATTTTTCCGTAGATGTTTTTCCGTTTTTTCCTTGGATGGTAAATCCTGTACTTTTTCCATAGATTAATTTTCCATGGATTATTTTTCCATGGATTATGTTTCCATGGATTATTATTCTATGGATTATACTTCCGGTGGATTTTTGTTCCGTAGGATTTTTTTTCCGTGGCTGTTTTTTCCTGGATTTTTTTTCCGTGGCTGTTTTTTCCTGGATTTTTTTTCCGTAGTTTTTTTTTCATTGGATTTTTTTTCCGCTGACGACATGGCACATGCAAAATAAACCAAAATAACTACATAACTAGCACTACTAACCTTTTGCCCAAGATTCAGAGCACCACTTCTGATTAAATTTTCGGGAATATTGCTTTGGCATTGCAACTCCTTTTCCTACTTTATTTACTTATTACACTAAACTGCGAACAGCGAACTTGCAAGTTCCAATTAAAATATATCAAACGCAACTACTGATTATACTTGTTATACGTATGTGATTGTGATACGAACTTGACTTGAGATGTAAACGATGCAAATTGCAATAGATGAATACTTAGAGTTTAAACTTAAAAAATGCAGAATAGCAAGTGCAGTGCAAAGGGTGGTGGGCGTGGGAAACATTAACAAAACAATTTGAAAACTGGTCAGAAGGTGCCAGTGCGGTCTCATTTACTTATTATTTCGTCATTTTTATTATCCTGTTTTGTAGCCCTTTTCCGCAAAACAGGGTTTTGTACTATACCTACCTTATTCATTCATCAAATTTGCCAGAATTCCGACGGCGGCGGCTTGTTACATCTGCTAATCACAAAGTGTCTAATTTATTATTTATGGCGCAACAACAATAGAACCTTTGAACTTACCTCTTACCTTACCTACCTGCGATGCGACCTGGCTACTTATATTTACTTAATACCTGTTTTATTTTCTTTATGTTAGTCACGTCCACTACATTATCTCGCATTTTGTTACTTTCTAAGAAGGCGCCGCACACTAACTTCAATTATGGGTTATGAGTAGCCATGTTTCGCTAAATTTTTTTTTGGGTAGCCAAACTTTATCGCCAGTCGCCAAATGTAAAATGTGTGCGCCAGAAATGCGATGTAAGTAGCCCAAATGGCTATAAATCGCCAACATTGGCAACACTGCCCGACGTTGCTTCAGCCTGTCTCACAATTGACGCCAACGTGAACGCGAACGTGAACGTGAGCATTTAATTAAAACATGAATATTTACTATTTCCATTCACATATAACGCAACGGGAACGTGAAAACGTGAAACAAACGTGACAGTTGGTCAACTTTTATCTTTCCCGTTCCCGTTGGCGTTTTAAACATGCGCGCGCTTGCGATCCAGCCACATAACCTTTAAAGACCAAACTTAATTATTTTTGTACGAAGTATTGCATGATTATCCGTTTGTTGAATTGAATAGAATAGTCTGTGATAGAATCAACGAAAGATAAGTTGTGATGATGTGCGATAATCCAGGTTTCGATGAATTGTTAATTATGTGTGTAGAAAAACATCCCAATGTATACAACAAAAAATTAAAAGAATTTAAAGATACCTTGATGAAAGAAAATTCATGGTTAGCCATTGCAGAACATTTGAATAGTGATGGTAAAATCAATAGTTATACAGTACGATTGTTAGCACTTACTTTCCTTATTTGTAGCGGAAACAGTGAAGAGGCGATGGGACAATTTAAGGGATCGATTCGTTAGAGCCCATACGGACAGTTTAAAACTTGCTCCTTCAGGTTCAGGAGCTGATGTTATAAGTACCAAAAGTACTTTTCCGTTTTTCAAGCTCTTGTTATGGCTTGTACCGCATATCAGAAAGAGAAGGTAATTGTAATTAAATTGACATAAAAAATGTGTGCATTAATCTTATATTATATTCCAGACTCATATCAGCAACTCCGCGTGTTTCCCAGGCACAAGTGCATACAGAAGAACACATTGTAGATGCAGAAGATTCTGAAATCTTCTCCTCACAAAGCAGCCCAAGTGTAGACATTGAAGAAGGGTGGTATGATGTCAATGACAGCGGATTATTATCACCTACTAGTTCTGAACCACGCACCACTACTACCACTCCCAAAGCTACGAAAAATAAATCTATCCCCGAGACATTAACCAAAGCTGTGGAATCATTTACCTCATTTGTAAACGCTAGAAAGAAGGGCATTGAATCTGACGCATCACATAATTCGTCCGATATGAATTTTATGAGATCTGTAGTGGTTGATATGGAACACATTCCACAGGCCAAAAAACTGAAATTCAAACGGGAAGTGTTGGAACTGTTGGAAAAATATACCTCGGAAGTATAATAAAACTACATACATACAATACATATTTTTATATACATATTTTGTGATAGAAATAAATGTTATTTGCCTCTATTAATATATTTCATTTGCCAAGGCACAGATCCTTCAGGAGTGAGCAGGTACTTTGCTACAATATCTCTTTAACTATATGCCTTCTTCGAGGACACATCTGCACCAATTCTTCCAACACGCGTTAAATTTTTGTCATTGCTGACAATTTCTCGCCACTTCCCTTCAACTACTTCGCCGTTATTTAACACTACATCAGTTAATGTAGGAGGTGCATATTTATCAGAAATATTTATTTTTAGAAAATTATGCAAACAAACGGTTGCCTTTATAATGGCCTCGCTTGTCTCAACTGAACACAATAAAGGTTGTCTATATACACGCCATCGACTGGCCAGAATTCCAAAACTGTTCTCGATTGTACGCCTAGCCCTCGATAACCGATAATTAAATATAAGTCGTTCATTAGTTAATCCGCTACCTGGATATGGGCGTAACAGATAATGATTAAGGGGAAATGCTTCATCACCCACAAAGTAATATGGTACCTTTGCTGAGCTCCCATTCAATTCTCCTTCAGGCAAACTGGAGCTTACAGTTTCCATATCAATCTTTATTTGTGACCTTTTGAAAATCCCAGCATCATTTTCAGAACCGTATGCACCTATATCTACCCAAGTGAATTTATAATCTGCATCACAGCAGGCCAACAGTACGATACTATAATATTTCTTATAGTTGTAGTACAAAGATCCAGAATTTGTGGGGCACTGTACTGCAACATGTTTGCCATCAATCGCTCCAAGTGTGTTCGGAAAGTTCCATCGTGTCCAAAATTCTTCACTGATGTTTAACCAATCTTGATCAGTAGATCTTTTGAAATATTCCGTATGTAATACTTCCCAAATGGCCTCACAAGTTTCCCGAATTGTTTTTGAGGCAGTTGAGTGACCAACTCTAAACTCAAATCAAAGATTTACAAAACTACCACCGTGCGCTAGGTATTTAAGTCATCGCTAAACGCATTTCGGGAAGAAGGGCAGGACGTCGACTTCGTTTTAATAACTTGGGCTTCACCAATTCAAGCAATTTATCAAATTGTGCAGGATACATCCGGGTATATGAAAAAAATTTTTCATGGTCATGCACTTTAAAATATTTAAAAGTGTTTACAAATGCTCCCAGCTGGTCCCGTAGAGTGTTGAAGGGGCGAACCACCACCTAACAAGAACATGAACGATTTTGCTTATTAATCTAGGTATAATGCTATGGAATATATTTACCTCTTCTTATTTATTTTGGATATGTAGTAATACAGAGCGTAAATATGTAACATGAATACATAAACTATTACTTCGTCAGTTTCGCTGTCGGTATCCATTTTTTAGGTTAGTTCAACTACCACAGAACACATTTTAATAAACAAAATATTCCGTGACAAAACTTAACACTCCAGGAGCGTAACGTTAATTGTGAGACTGCGAATTTGTTCATGTTCACGTTACCGTTTGCGTTTCCGTTGGCGTTTACGTTTGCGTCAATTGTGAAACAAGCTTTAACTTCGGTGATCGGACGAGAACCGGTGTTTTCAACGTGGTATGGCCGTTGTCGAGAAATATGGTGATCTAAGGGAAACAATTCCAGAAATTATTCGTCAGAAGAAGAACAAAGAGATGCACGCAAAGGATTCAAACGTGTCGCAAATTTACCAATTTTGAGCACTTTTCTAATCGAACGTAAATAAATATTTCGATGAATGAAGGAGAGTTCCTTAAAATCGCAAAGGGAATACAAAAGTCCCGAAAAATGCACAAAACGAAACAATTTTAAATTTCGCAAAGTGTAAAAGTAGTACAGTGCAGACTCGATAATCCGAACTTTTGATAATCCGAATTCTTCAGTAGTCCGAACAAGCTTTTCAATACATTGGGTACTCTGTAATCCGAATTTCATAGTACTCGATAATCCGAACCTGTACTTTTAAGCATATTTCCTATAGAAATTGTGACTAGATGTTCAGGGATTTCCCCAATTACATCATCTGGGATTCACATTAAACTGGTTGTGCAGCATTTTTACTGCTTTGTACGCTTTTGAGCAGTGATACATACATATTTACATACTACTTTGCTTGTTGTATGGGATGTTTGTAATGCCATTTGAGGTGATATAAGTGGGTTTTTATTTTAATATTTGCTTAAATAAAAATGGCCCCTAAAAGAAAACACAAGACATTGTCCATAAAACAAAAAAGTGAAATTATTGAAAGACTTAACAAGGGAGAAAGTGGTAAAGTGTTGGTCGCTGAGTATGGGGTTGGAAGATCTACAATCTGTGACATAAAAAAGAAAAAGGCTAAAATAGACAGGTAGGATTAATTCTAAAACAATTTTAGTGTTTTTTTTGTACAATTGTTGTTTTTTTAAGATTTATTGGTCAATGTGAATCTGCCCCAGGGCTCAGAAAAACTTTACGAAAAGCTGAATATGCTGAAATGGAAACTCGTTTGTATGCATGGTTTTGTAGACAAAGATCGAGGCATGTCCCAATTTCCTATGAAATTTTATCTGCTAAAGCAAGACAGTTTTATACCGAAACATATGGAAATGATAATTTTAGAGCTAGCAGGGGCTGGATTTGTAACTTTCGAAAAAGGCATAGTCTTCGTGCTTTAAAAGTGTGCGGCGAAAAACTATCCAATGATCAAAGTGTCGTCAATCCTTTCTTGACTACATTTAAAGAGAAGGTAAGACAATTAAATCTTGTGGCTACTCAAATATACAACGCCGACGAATCGGCTCTCTACTGGAAAATGTTGCCGGAAAAAACGCTGGTTCGTTCCCAAGAGAAGACCGCACCAGGTCGAAAAATAAGCAAAGAACGGGTAACATTTTTAGCTTGTTGCAATGCAAATGGGTCACATAAACTAAAGATGCTAGTGATAGGAAAGGCAAAAAATCCACGGGCATTTAAAAACGCAGACATTCCTGTTGAATACAAATCCTCTGCTAATGCATGGATGACTACAACAATTTTTTATTATACCTGAATCACAATCTCCGTTTTAAATACTCAAATGCGTGCGAAAAAAGGCCTTTAAAACACACGTGCTTTAAAGTTGCTAAGTAACGATACTTCAAGTATGACTTTTGAAACTGTCATCTGGATGAAATAAAAAATCCTCTTAGGTCGCTTTCTGTAAATGCAGAACATTCCTTTGGCTTTTGTACCTATCCTTTGGTTGAAGCTTTCACAAACGCGCGTAATTTAGGGTATGTTCCAAATCTGTTCCACATTTTAATCGCAGCATTGTTTGAAGTTTTGAGTTAATGCACCAAAAGATAGAAGATTTAAATACCTTTGACATTTCCTTCATATATGCCAGCATTATCGATGCATTTAAGACTTTATTCGTAAGTAACTTCCTATTCATCCATGGAAACAACTTTTCATATTATTTATAATAGACTTTACTGGATTTGAATTTTACACCTACCAACGTTTGTTTAGACTTTACAACAAGCGATTTAATGGACGATGTATTATCTTTTTCAACGGAAATCGTTTTATTGACAAAGACGATGATTTTTATAAGCAAACGTCAAGTGACATTTCCATGGCAATCGTGAAATTTCGAACACCCAGCCCACTTAATGAAACATGTATTCGAGTATAACGTCAATATGATTTCATTGTATTTCCTATTTTTAAATTATACTGCAGGCATAATAAAAAATACTATAAGATACACGTGTATAATTGGTCTTTAAAGCACTTGCAACGTTAAAGGCACTCCGCTTTGCGTCGTGCCCTTAAACTCGCTGCGCGTGCTTTAAAGACTTGANTCAAATGACACTTGTACTTTAATATACTATTACCTAACTAAAATTACCGTAAAAGCTTTATATTGTTATAAATCGTTGCGTAGCTCTGCTACCATGTAGGATTAAAAGAACTCGACGCACATAAAACTCAAATTTATTATGGATAAATCAAAGCTCTCTAACGAACCCGTAAAGTGTGCTCAGCGCTCTCTCTGATTTCCACACAATGCCGGGGCAGATGCGGTAGGTTCAGGAACCATCTAGCGCGCCATTCTCGGCGGACGTTCCCCTCTACCAAAGTTCCCTGCTCTCTCTGCCTCTTTTACGCTCACACAAAGTGGGGAATCCGAAAACCAAAAGGAAATTTTGGAGCTAGAAGAACAGATCGAAGTGATCGAAATAAATACTAAGAGTTATTTAGAACCAACTAAATGAGACAAGAAGAGAAAAGAAAAAACTTGTAAGAAAGAAAGTGCGTAAACCTCAAACATGGAAAAATAATATTCGAAAAGAACTCTGCCAAAAAGGTAAGGAATATAATAACACAAGGGGAAAACAAGTTAGCGCAAAAACTATCGTGAATAAAAAAGGAACTCTCCTTCATTCATCAAATATTTATTTACGTTCGATTAGAAAAGTGCTCAAAATTGGTAAATTTGCGACACGTTTGAATCCTTTGCGTGCATCTCTTTGTTCTTCTTCTGACGAATAATTTCTAGAATTGTTTCCCTTAGATCACCATATTTCTCGACAACGGCCATACCACGTTGAAAACACCGGTTCTCGTCCGATCACCGAAGTTAAGCAACGTCGGGCGCGGTCAGTACTTGGATGGGTGACCGCTTGGGAACACCGCGTGCCGTTGTCTCCTTTTTTTCTAATTTTCGCTTCCTTTTGACACATATTTAGCGATAAGTGCAGACTCGATAATCCGAACTAATAAAAACCAAGGCGATTCGGATTAGCAAAAAATTCGGATTACTGAAGCAGTTCTTTTTTATTAAAATTTTTATTATGAAACGCAAAAAAACAGTACATAATTACGAAAAAATATAAAAATATGGTATTAATTTCTAAAGTAATTTGTAATTTTTGTTTGCTTTACACATCTTTGATTATTCATAAACGCAATTTCTTTTAACCGTACAAGAATATCACTTAGTGGAA